GAACAAAAGAAGGTTCCACATAGTGTTTAGTTTACAAAAATGTTCTTAGAAACAGATTGGACTGAAAATGTTCATAATGTTTGACCAACATTATTTATTAGCGTTTTACAATTTTCATCCTTTATAATTTGGCTTCTATACACTATTTAGATAGATATATATAATTGATTATATTATATAATTGCTTAAACATAATACAAGTAATCAACTGAAAATTTCAATGACAAAAATGTATTAGTGAAAAACTTATGATAAAGAGATCATAATTTTGGTCTCTGTCTAAAAAAGAATTCATCTCGATATCTACTTTATACAATTAAACAAAATGAAGATTCCGCTTCAATAACCTGATGGACAAAATGTCACGGTTCAGTTTGTCATGAATCTTATAATTTTAACAAAACAACTTTTTGAAAACTAAAAGGTACCGAAATGTTCAAAAATTAACATGCTAAAACCATGATCCATGGTCCAATTAATAAACAAATAAACTGGTAGCCATCTTTGAGTTTTTCAATTACAGATGAATATGACATTTGGCGAGTTATAGGATTTTATTGATGGAATTACTAATATCATTATTAATAATAAATGTAAGATGAATGCTGAAATGAATGTGCAAATTGTTAAATATTTGAAACCCCCTTAATTATTATGTGTGGGGCGCAGCTGATCGAGAGACCAACAAAACTCTTGTAAAGATGAACTGAAGGCAAATATTTTGGCAGCATTTACCAATTTAAACAAGGAGACCGTCCAAAAGAGTTGCAGGAGATTCCGAAGTCGTCTGGAGGTCGTGGCTGAAACTAATAACGATTCTATTGAATAAATTTACTCTTTAGTATCTCAAGATTTTTTGTGTAATTTTGGTAAATATATCTGTTAAAATGGGATGTCAGTGTTAGTTTCGGTTTTGCGTAATTTAGACATTTTATCCATTGCATCATATATATATATATATATATATATATATATATATATATATATATATATATATATATATATATATATATATATATATATATAGAGAGAGAGAGAGAGAGAAGTTTGTGTATAAGTTATATGATTATATCGTATAAAAATAACATTTACATATTGAGATATAATCATCAGCCGAAAGATTCATTCTCATTAATTTAGATTTATTCATATTATGTATTGTTATATTTGTTGTAAGATTTTAATATTGAATTTACTAATATCATTATCAATTAATGCTAGATGACTGCTTAAATGAATATGCAAATAGATGAATATTTAATACCTGTATTTAATACATAGGTTTTCAGATGTTACTTACGTTTCTTTCTTTAAATTGACTGGTTTTCTCCAGAGGTGAATATCTTCCGTACAATTATTGATCTGTTTACTGCTGCTTCGGAAACAACAGCGACATCTTTACTCTGGGGTTTCTTGTACCTGACAAAATACCCAAAGATACAACATCAATGTCGAGAGGAGATACAAAAGGTAAGACAAATAGATAAAAACATTGATTCTTTCACAGTGTTAGGGAAACAAGTCTATGAAAAGGTCGACTGTGACATTAAAATCAATTTTTAAAAGAATCGGTCTCATGTGAAGTTTTTAGCCTAGACACTGACCCTGTTACTTTTTCGATTGGGAAACACGCGCAAAGATGAATATATTTTTTCTAGAACATTTGCACATACATAGAATAACATTGTCTTTGTCGCTCACAACAATATAACTTTTGGTCTTGTTAATAATACATTATCGTTTATATATATATATATATATATATATATATATATATATATATATATATATATATATATATGTAATAAAGGTTACCCATTTAAAAATAAATGTTGTTAAAATGAACGAAATTTAAAGAGTATTTTACACTGTCTAATGGAGCTGAACATTATTTTTATGTTTAGATGCATTTAAACTGATCAAATTTTATTTCAAAAAAACAATAAAATTAAATTTTGTTTGATTAAAACCCTGCTAACATGGAAGTACCCAAGAATCATTTGAGGCACATAATGCTTTATGAGTTCAAGAAAGGAAACTCCAGCCGAAGTGGCTAGAAACATTCACTCAGTTTATGGAGAGGAATGTGTGAATGAAAGAACTTTCAGAAGATGGTTTGCAAAATTCAGAGGTGGAGATTTCTCCCTTGAAGATGAATATCGAACCGGACGTCCAGTTGAGTCTAATGAAAAGCAGCCCTTGAAGCAGCCCTTGAAGAAAATCCTGCTTTATCATTTTGGCAGTGGTTCTCAGTTCAAACCATACAACTGTTCATCGTCATATTCAACAACTTGGAAAAGTTCCTAAACTTGGAAAATGGGTGCCTCATGAATTGTTTGAAAACAACCTCAAATCCCGAGTTGACATCTGCTTTTCTCTCCATTCTCGCCAACTCGTTTCACCTTTTTTGGATAGACTTGAGACTGGCGACGAAAAATGTACCTTTTATCGAAATGTTAAGCATCGTAGACAGTGGCTTGGAAGGACCCCAGCCACAACTGAGAAGGGAACTTCATGGGCAAAAGGTTCTTCTTTCAATCTGGTGGGATCGCCAAGGAATAATCCACTTCGAATTCTTACCACCTAATGCAACAATTAATGCTCAAATATACTGTCAGCAATTAGAGCGTTTGAACCAAGCTTTGAGGAAAAAAAGACCTGCTCTAGTGAATCGAAAAGGGATAATGTTTCATCAGGACAATGCGCCACCCCACACAACAAGAATCCCGTCACAAAAGATCGAAGAACTTGGTTGGGAGAAAATTCCTCATCCACCTTATTCTCCCGATCTTGCTCCTTCAGAATACCATTTGTTTCGTAGCTTACAGAATCATTTGGAAGAAACAGCTTTTGTAACACAGGAAGAGGTTAAAACTGACATTTGTGAGTTCTTCGAATCAAAGCCAAAAGAATTTTACAGTAATGGAATTAGTAAGCTTGTTAATAGATGGAAGAAAGTCATAGATAATCAGGGAAAATACATTGTTGATTGAATCTGTAATTAAATGTAACATTTGGTCACTTGTTTTCTTTATTCAAAATTCGGACAGAACTTATGGGATGACCTGATAGATTCAAACTGTTAAAGATGTTACCGTAACTGTTTTTAAACTGTTTAATATTGTAATATTAAAAAAGTACGATTGGTCGGGTAAACAAACTGTTATAATTTAATTTTTTTATATGTTCTCTATAAATGTGTTAATAAATATAGTATTAAACTTATATTAAATCCCTAAACTATTTGTAAAAAAATTAAATATTTAAATTGATAGCAAGCTTCATATTAATTTCTTCGTTTTTTTTAGACATCTAAATTACTATCAATCATTAAAATCAATTCTTTACATAAATTGATAAAACCCAATTACAGCCTCTTTCTCTTTACTTCCCTCTCCCTCTTCTTTCTTTTTCCTTTTTCTTTTCTCCCTTCTCCTCTCCCATTTCAATATATCACTTCCGTTAAGTTAAACGTCTAAATAGGTCAAGGTCTGGTCACTCCTCCTCCCCCAATATAAACTATACTTGAGAGAGATATGAAATTAATCCCTCCCTAAACTCTACCATGTCTCTTTAGCTACTCTTTTTACACTCTCCGGTAAATTACAAAAACTTACACTACCCATCAATTTTAATTTCATTTTTCGTTTCATTTCATTTTTGGAAGTGCTATCTGGTGATCTGGCGTTCTTTAAAAGGGATCTGGTGAAATAAATTATTATAATGATACCTTAAAGTGGTCTGTTTTTCTTTAATATATATATATATATATATATATATATATATATATATATATATTGGTTTTAGTTGTTTCCGCAATTTTTGTTATGGGATAAACATTCCAGGAGACACATGTTTTCAAGCTAAACACAATGATTTATGTTGTGAACATTTAGAGTTGTTTATATTTTGCATTTATCTCTCATTTGAATGCTAAGAATGCTCTTGAATGGTCTTCCCTCACTATTTCAGATTTACCAAAACTCTTACTGTAAAGTAATAACATAATTTACCTTTTAGAATGCACATTCTGCCAGAAACAATATGTAGGAAAATGTAAATTGCCCTTTCACTACAGAATTAATAATTATTAGAAACGAATCAATCTGCTCCCCACGAAAGATTATTGCCTGCAGAAAAACACGATTATAAAAGCCATGCAAAATTCACAATAATTGAAAAAATAGAAATAGACAGAAAAGATAACCTTAGAAAAATTCTAGAGGAACATGAAAACAAATGGATTTTATGCCTCAAAACACTTCGCCCAGACGGACTAAACCACAAATTTAACAACATTGATAGAATTAATATATAACCCTATAAATTAAGCCCTATCCACATTTCTCATCCACACAAGACAGTCATGATTGCAGAGGTGTTGAGGTCATACTTATAGACACACTCATACTTATATATACACACAAAACAGAAGAACTAAAAGATAATACGCACTTATCACACACTCCCCCTTTCCCGGGAACAAATAAAACTGTCAAAATGTCCAAGGAGATAATTCTGAGACTCAGGAATCTCCAAGCCTCTATCTTAAAAACAACTTTAAGAGACCGTTTAACTAATACAAGGGCTGACCAAAATTAACGATAAAAAAACAAATGAAAACTACAGATAATGTTCACTTTCTTCAGAGAGTCATTTACTTCTGACTAACAAGCAGGGATTTTTTTTCTTGATGATGGTTATGTTGACCGAAAATAGTTGAGGAACCTAATTGAAATAAAACAAAAAATATATGTGTGCGTGCGTGTTTGCGCGCGCGTGTGTGTACAGAGGTACTGAAAAATTAATTTAGAAGTATTTGAAGTGGATAGTGGATTGCTTTTTATTAAATAAAACAATTCAATAGTTTCATACACAAGACAATGTAAGGCATACGTACGTAAGACAATACGCAATCATCCACATCTGAATTGCATACGTATAGCATCTGATCGGCCACGTATCAAGGTATTATTTCTTTTTACAACTGACATAACGGCTTACGGCCATATCATGTTGAAACACCGGTTCTCGTACGATCAACAAGGTTAAACAACATCGAGACTGGTCAGTACTTAGATGGGTGACCGCTTGACAAATACCGGGTGCTATAAGCTTCTACAATTTTATTACAAGATTTGTTATATGTTTTCTCAAAGTAAAACTGGGTGAATGTCCTTTAAGCTGAAATATGTCTACTGATTAGAATATCATGAACTGGAATTTATTATAGCGTGATGACCATAGCTGTCATGAAACCATATAGGATTATTTATGTTTAATTTCTTATATACCAGGATAATAACAGAAGGAACACCCAGCCAAGAGTTTGTTCCAATAGAAGGATTATTCTTTCTTTAAAAACAAATCACAAAAGAAGAGTATTAAAATTAGAAATCGTGCAAGTTTGTTCTTTTGTTGCCTCCCCATTTTATTTTGGAAATAGCATAATTACATACTTCATAATGTCAGTGAATATGAATAAAAACGAAATTATTATTTAGACAACGAAAGTTAAACAATGTTATTCCTGGCTAGAAATTTGTCGAGAGCTTTAATCATTAGGGTGATTAATTTACAAGATAATCTTTCTTATATTTTAAAGCTGACTGGGTTTAGCCGAATGGTTACAATGGCAGATAAAGACGAATTACCATTTGTCAATGCCACAATTCTTGAAGTACAAAGAATTGCAGCAATATGTGAGTATAAGAAATATTTTTTTTCTCTTTTCCTTAGTCTTTTCTTACCTGATTGATGTACGAAAAAATGTTATTTCGTCTGAATAACTGTTTGAATGTTAATGACACTTCTTAAAACATTAGAAAATACGAAAATGTTCATTCTTTGCGGGGATATTTATATCTTATCTTGGAACGTGACGCAGTTACTCCAATTTAACCTGTTTTCTTTTTATACAAGTTCGTTGCTTATCTAATTTTTTTTTTTATTTGGGTAGGATATGTGGAAATAACTTTTTAACACTTTCAGCCTTGACCACCGCTTTATCGGTGGTAGAGAAAAATGACATAATGTCTAGCCACCGGTTGAACGGTGGGTAAACACTTGTAACTATTTTTTATATCTACCCTATATAGGGTTAATACTCAAAAATCCTATATCACCCACCAGAATTTCCAATCACCCACCATTTCCTGTTCAGTTGCTCATCGCTCACCCAACAGTTGAAATCGCCCATAAGTCAAATTTCGTAATAAATAAATTGGGGTCAATGTTAATTGCCAAACTATTTTAATTCAATGATCACAAGTATTAATCATTTGGTGAAGACCAAACTATTTTTAATCTTTTCTCATTAAGCAAGGCAATAAAGCCACAATGACGAAAGTTGTTACTGAGAGTGACAGAAACTGAGGAAAATATTATCTAGGAGAAAGGACAATAAAATAACAGGACACAAAAGGAAGATTGAAGCTGCATTTAAAATTTTGAAAATCATAGTTTATGGGAAAGCGAGAAGCCGGAAGTGTGTTCCATAGGCGAGAAGTCCGAGGGAAGGAAGTATTAGCATAGATCTTATGATTACATCTAAGCATTTCAACAAAAGTAGAATGACGGGACTTATCTGCCAATCTAGTACTGTGCTTAAATTCGCGAACTCGGGGTACCAAAGAGGAAAACCCATCAGAAGTGTTACTATGAAAATATTTATAAAAAAGTCAAAGAGAAACTAGTTTACCATGATAGGAAAAGTAACGGAAGCAGAGATGCCATGTCAGGACCGATAACATTACAGATTCTTACTTAGATTTCTTTTCAAGTATCTGTAGATATATTACAGAATAACCAGACCAAATATGGCAGCAATATTCAATACACGGATGAATGATAAACAGCCTTATAAGCAGTTTTTCTCAAATTCATATTTATTTAAAATTTTAGATAAAGAATTATATGCAGTTGAGCAAAACTATTAATTAGCCTGTACTATTTCGATTCAGCTACCATTTCTGAAAGTCTGAGTAATTTCCAACGCAAGGCGTGTTTTGTAAATCGCTTTTTAGTGACTGGCACAAGGCCACAGCGTAGGAGACAAGATGAAGGAGACAAAATCACTTCACTTAGAGATTGGCTTGCTAAACATCAGTAGAAAGTGCTCAATATCTGCGATAGTGCTAACATATTCAGTTGTATGTATATGAGTTTGTTTGGTTTGGTTTGGTTTGTTTTGTCTGATGATCGCAAAAGCGTGAAACCAAGGGTTACAAACTCATATCCATACAACTGGATCTATCTATCTATCTATCTATCTATATATATATATATAAATGTATACTTTTATGTGTCTGTGTATATATATGCATACGTATATATGTGTGTATATATATATATGCATATGTATATGTGTATATGCATATGTATATGTAGATGCGTATATATATAAATATATATATATGTATATGTTATGGGATCTTACCCATAATAATAATAATGGACTATTCCATACTTAAGTCAGTAGACACGAGTCAGTAGTTCAGGTCGAGTCAGTAGTTCAAGTCGAGTCAAGAGTCGAATCAGAGGCAGTCCGAAACAGAGTCGTCGTTCAGACAATTACTGCAAGACATTGGAATAGTGATACTGGTCGAGACTACATTGTTCTCTCTACTAAACCTGATTGTTCATACTAACACTTTCTACTTCTCTGTATATATTCCTGTTTGTAATATATCTGTGTTATTCCATACTTGTGTTCGAGTTCTTCTTTATTGGTTCTACCTTGGACTATCACCGTGGTACAAGGAATCGGATCATAACAGTATATATGTGTGTATGTTTGTGTGTGTGTGTTTGTGTGTGTGTGCGTGCGTGTATGTGTGTGATAATTGACTATAAAATTACTTTAAATTTTTCTACAGGTACCAAATCCATCTTTGTTCCGATCGTCACAATATTTCTGCCGATTTACTGACTGAACTTCTTCTTCAAACAATCCAGATGTAAACATTAGTCAAAGCATATCTATTTTGTAAAAATAAAAATAAACCCAGACTGAATTTCAAAATCACTTGACAGTATCAAATAGACATGTCGTAGATGTCAAACGCACGTCGTACGCACAAATGTGTACTGATTATTGCTACCGCATGTGGCCATGGTCTCTTGCTATATTTCTTGATATTCTCGACTAAATCCAAAGAAAAATCTGCAAAGTTACCGGTCCTCACCTAGCATCACTGCTTCAGTCAATTTCCCATCGCCATAAAGTCGATTCATTGTACCTGTTCTATAAATATTTTCAGGCCAATTGTTCTGATCTTCTTGCCACTTTAGGATTTCGGCTTCGTGAATTTCAGCGTAGTACTAGATTGGCAGTTAGGTCTCATCGTTTTATGATTGAAATAACTAAATGTTACCGTAAATCTTGTCCTAATAATCTCCTCTCTCGCACCTCTTGACTGTAGAAATCTCTTTTGGTTCCCTGCTTTCCTCTCAACTACGTTCTTCAAAAATTCAAATTTAACATCGGTGGCCATCTTCTGTCTTTTAAATCCTGTTTTTATTGTCCTTTCTTCTCATTAACGTTTCTTATTTCCTTTCATTCTCCGTAACCTCTTGTGGCTAAGAAATTTGCTCCACATAGAGTTTGTTTTTTTTTTTTTTAAATATTATCATTGACAATAATAAAAGAAATAAAAGAATTATTTTCTTGTTTGAGAAATGCGAAGATGAAATGATTCCATGAGTTAGTATTTAACCTTTTTATCAAAGACTAGCGGATTTAAAAAAAAATATTCCCAGTTGGAATTAGAGAGCATTTTCAGGCGTCCATGACAATTTTGGCAAAATTAATCTAGAAAGAAAACGAAATAATTCAATATCCAGTAAATATTTCTGCTTATTTACTCTACGGCCTTCTTCTTCATACAATCCAGATGTAAACATTCGTCAAAACATATCTATTTTGTAAGAATAAAAATAAACACAGACTGAATTTTAAAATCACTTTATAATATCAAATCGGCAGGTTGTAGATGTCAGACCCATGTCATACATAGAAATGTGTACTGAATATTGCTACAGCATGTGGCCAGGGTCTCTTGCTATATCTCTTGATATTCTCGACGAAATCCAAAGAAAAATCTGCAAAGTTACTCTCTGTAATCTCTTTTGCCTAAGAGGACCTTATCACCTTCCTGGGGATGGAATGATTATTTCCTTTCACTCTCCGTAATCACTTGTGGCTAAAAGGCCCTTATCGCTTTTCTGGGGATGAAATGATTATTTCTATTCACTCTCCGTAACCTCTTGTGGCTAAGAGGCCTTATCGCCTTGCTGAGATGAAATGATTATTTCTATTCACTCTCCGTAACAACCTATGCCTAAGAGGCCCTTATCGCCTTGCTGGGGATGAAATGGTTATTTCCTTTCACAATCCGTAACCTCTTGTGGCTAAGAGGTCCATATCGCCTTGCTGGGGATGAAATGTTTATTTCTATTCACTCTCCGTAACCTCTTGTGGCTAAGAGGCCTCATCGCTTTTTTTTGTGGGTATAAAATGGTTATTTCCTTTCACACTCCGTAACCTATTGTCGCTAAGAGGCACTTATCGCCCTGCTGGGGAAGAAATGATTATTTCCATTCACTCTCCCTAACCTCTTGTGGCTAAGAGGCCTTTATCGCCTTGCTGGGGGTGAAATGATTGTTTCCCTTCACTCTCCGTAACCTCTTGTGGCCAAGAAACCCATATCACCCTCCTGGGGATGAAATGTTTATCTCCTTTCACTATCTGTAATCTCTTATGGCTAAGAGGCCTTATCGCCTTGCTGGGGATGAAATGATTAAAAATTTGGACCACATAAAGGCTAAGAGCTATAAGTTTTTTAACAGATATCATCATTAACAATAATAAAAGAAGTAAAAGAATTATTTTCTTGTCCGAATTTGTCAAAATCAATGTAGAAAGAAAACGAAATAATATAATATAATTGTCATGGGACCTTACCCATAATAACATAATGGACTATTCCCTACGTATGGGACCTTACCCATAATAACATAATGGACTATTCCATACGTATGGGACCTTACCCATAATAACATAATGGACTATTCCATACGTATGGGACCTTACCCATAATAACATAATGGAC